AGGAGGCCTCAATTAAATATAGCTATCTTCCTATTTTTTTTTTTGGACGACTATATGTATAATTCTAGCCTCTAGGGAGTCTATTTCACACAATGCCGAATGAAAATTGTTGAAAGTACATATCAAACAAATATGCTTATCTTTCTATTTTCTTGGATGACGATATGTATAACTCTAGAGGTAGTTAAAATTCTCTACTCCTCTCATGATTTGTTTAATAAACTAGCTCTTAAATGCTGAAAGTATACGTTAAATAAACTAGCTCTTAGTTGTTTACTCTTATGCACTAATAGGCCCCTTTATAACTTTTAAGAGGGTAATTAGGCTCGTGCCTACGGTATAGTTTTCTAATTACTTTTGGGGAATATTCATTCAAGTTTGACTTGCATATTTGTATTTTATCATCCGTTTTTTGCTTTTTTTTTTTTGGGCAAATGAGAAGAACAGCATAAAACTAAATAGTTTTCTAACTGCTTTTGGACATATTAATCAAACTTTTAAACAAACAAAATATGAATGTCCAAATTCAAAATAATATATCTTCTTCAGTGGTTGTTTCTAACTATTATAAATTTGCCCCAAAGGCCATAACAAGTCCAGCTAATGATTGCAAGAAGACTTGGCATCATTACAGATATCTATCTATTTTTCATGACTCCGGAGCTAGTTAAAATTCTATACTCCTTTCATGATTTGTTTAATAAACTAGCTCTTAACTTTACATAAAAGCAACTTGAAAATACAAGTTAACAACATTCACATTTTCTTTGCTAATTCGAATTATTTTTTTGTCATTCATTTCTTAGTCATCATTTTAATTGTCCGACCTCTCATTCTTGATGCTTTGGAAACTACTAGTAGTGTTGTGTGTCAACTACATCCACCTCTTTCTTGAAGAAGCTCTAGTTTGTTACAAACTCTCATTCCTAGGAATCGTCGTCCGCCCATGTGGCGGTAGGTGATTGGCTTCTACTGACATGAATGGTGAACTGGCCTTGGTGGTCTCCGCCTGGATGTGGTCTTCGTCTTCTGCTTGGCCAATTATATTTAAATTTATTTTAAACGGTTTTGGATTTGCAGTTGTTGCTGATACAGTAGAGCAGTTGGTTTGGTATTGTGGTCGTTGACCTCAGAATCAGTTGATATTACGGTTTTAGCATATTGGTCTATTCCTATTTACATTGGACACTCTTTATTGTATTTTGGAGTTAGTGTTTCTTTTCAGGGGTATATTGGTAATGTGGGATTTGTCACCTCTGGTTTGATTAACCAGAAATTCAACTTCTTCTTGGGGTTTGTGAGCGAGGAACCGTACATTTCCTTCTGGGTTTTGCCATTGTTTTCCGAGGTTTAAGTAATTGCAACGATGAACGGAGTTGCTTTTCGAAGTTTTTTTTGTCATTAGACAACTTCGTATGTTGTCGTCCTCCATGAGCAGTGCATGTGATTGGATGCTTGCGAATTGGGCTCTGTTGTGCATTTACGAGGTAACCACTCTCGTCCATGGCCTGTCCTCTTTTACAAATCACGGCATGTTTCTTTGGGGCGATGGGTTGGAGGCCAGAAAGTCAGAAACCGGGTGCTTCTCTCTCTTTTTCGTCATTCTCTCACCTTTTCTTCTCCTCTGCCATCTTCGGCTTCCTCAGGTTGCAAGACTAATAAGGTGATCTTTTTTGCTCTGTAGATTTGCATTAAAAAAACTTTTCTATTTTATTTTTGCACTTTTGGAAGACCTCTTTTCCCCCATTGTACTCTTCTCCCTCAAATGCATCTCTTAGTTTCGGACAAGGGGCACGGACGTGCAACCATCCCAACGATTTTGGCCATTTTCAACACGTGTAATTTTGTTTGTATAACGTGTAATTTTAGTACAAAATTTTGTGGGTCCCACACACGGTGTGAAAATCGATGCACAACTTGTGATTTGGATCGCACAATTTATTGAGGCCAAATCATGACCATTAACAGCTCAGGAGCGGTCATTTTTTGATGACCGCTCCTGCCCCGTTTCCCTTAGTTTCCCTTTCTGACATGTTATGAGGTTATTTTTGTTCAATTATTCCTTATTTTGTTTTGTTTTATTGTTATTGAAGTTTTTTTTTGGGTTAGAAAACACCCTTATTTTGTTTCTTGTATTTGCGTCTAATGTTTTCCATTTGTTTTGGCTAGAAGTTATTATTATTATTTTTTTTATAATGAAAATCGAGCTTCATTAAAATAAATCTGCTTTTGCAGTGTACATAATCTCCTTTGAGAAGTTTACAAACCAGACGTGGCTTTCCTCAATTGACAGAGACAAATGAGACAATAAATGAGCAGGAGCATTGTTCTTCCTTCTTACATGTGAAACCCGTGTATAGCAAAAATCCTTCAGCATATCTCTAATGCCTCTGATCAAGTTACCTAACACCGATAAGTCAAGACTTGTGCTATTGATTCTCTGGACAATACCCAAGGCATCCCCTTCTAGAGTGAGATGAGAAATACCAAAATCTTTGGCAAACTGTAAAGCTTTAAGAAAAGCCAAGCATTCCACATGCTCTGCATTATGGGCCTCCGAAACTCTTTCAGCCATTAAAGCTTCCACTTGTCCTTGATGGTCTCTCACCACAACTCCAATTCCAGCCCCAGTATCAGAGAAGGCTCCATCAACATTTATTTTCAAAATACCTTCTTCAGGAGCTACCCACTTGGTCGAACTATCAGTCTTTGGTAACTCAGCTTTGCAATGAAAATTCCAATATTCCTGCAAGAACTCTATTGCATATTCACCAACGCTGAGCGCCTCCCTTACTTTTCCGTCAAAAATCCTCTCATTCCTCCATCTCCAAATTAGCCAAGTAAGTACTGCTGCTAACTCTGCCTCTTGCTTTCCTTGTGAATTCATAACCCAACCAAAATCCCGGCATCCCCTTCTAGAGTGAGATGAGAAATACCAAAATCTTTGGCAAACTGTAAAGCTTTAAGAAAATCCAAGCATTCCACATGCTCTGCATTAAGGGCCTCCGAAACTCTTTCAGCCATTAAAGCTTCCACTTGTCCTTGATGGTCTCTCACCACAACTCCAATTCCAGCCCCAGTATCAGAGAAGGCTCCATCAACATTTATTTTCAAAATACCTTCTTCAGGAGCTACCCACTTGGTCGAACTATCAGTCTTTGGTAACTCAGCTTTGCAATGAAAATTCCAATATTCCTGCAAGAACTCTATTGCATATTCACCAACGCTGAGCGCCTCCCTTACTTTTCCGTCAAAAATCCTCTCATTCCTGCATCTCCAAATTAGCCAAGTAAGTACTGCTGCTAACTCTGCCTCTTGCTTTCCTTGTGAATTCATAACCCAACCAAACCATTCCTTGAAATTTGGGGCACAAGAGTTCTCTAACAACTTCTGTTTGTCAAGTCCTTTCCACAAATCTTGGGCAAACTCACACTCAAAAAATATGTGTTTATCAGTTTCCACTTCACACCCACAACATCTGCAACTTTGATTTTCACATCGTACTCTAGCACTTAAATTACGACCAGTGGGTAAAATACCTGAGCATGCCCTCCATATGAACACCCTGACTTTTGGAGGAATATTTAGATGCCATAAAAAAAAATTCCTTGTTATTACTTTGTCTTTCATTTTGATGATGCGTTATATTAATGAAATGATATGTCAGTGAACCACAAAATCGATATGGATGTTTCCGCCTTCCTGCCCATGAACTCTGATAGTGGAATAAGCAAATGAAGAGGTAATAGTACTTTTTGTCTTTTATATCAATACTATTTTTTCGAAACTCCAAAACTTGGGGTTTCCCAATCTTTACTTTTATTATTATGCCTCCTACTTATCGTTTCGCCTCTTTATGATTTAAGTTTTAATCGGATTCCATAGCTATTTCTAGAAGTGGCAAAATGGATAAATGGTTGATAAATGATTTTTGTTTAATGGATAGTGGATAAAATTAATCCAATTCAATTACAACCATTTAGTAAATGGATCTAGATAGATAGGGTTTAAATGGATAATGGGAAACCATAATCCATCCATTTAACCCATTAGTAGAGTAGACTAGTACTGTATTTTTTTTTTTTTGGTGTGCATATGGATTCTCGTTGTCTATATTCCGTAGTCCATATTTTGTTGTCCTTGCAAGTTTTTTTGGTTCCTCGATGATGATTCACAATTTTAGTTCACTCCCACACCTCTTTACTGCTTATCCTATTCTAATTCATTAAATTAGGAATTCATCAAAATGATTATAATGATTGGTTAGAATGTAATCCAATAAATCTAAAACAAAGATAATGTGATACGAAAGTTCTGATTCATAATGCTTAAAGATTATCTCAAGCCGCTACCCAAAAAATAAAAAAAAAGGAGCGATTTTTTTCATTTCCATAATGTGTAAAAAATTGGCAATAAAAATTTCATTCTATATAGCAAACTATCTTACTAGAAAATTTGAGTGAAAATGAAAAAGATTAAAAAAGAAGAAAAGGGGCAGTAACTGGTTAAGGTTCAAATCTAAAGAATTAGTTTTGAGTTTAAATCTCTTTCTTCCTTCTGTTTCTTAAGTTTTACCCTTTTCCTACTGAATTTTTTTTTTAAAAAAAGCAACTTGAGTTCAAACATTTGATAATGATGAATTTAGTACTTGGAATAGATTTAGGCCCTATTTGGGGTTGCGGTGCTTCCGGTAAAAATGCATTGTTAGGTGCTAAAAGTAAAATATTTGGTGAATATCATTTCATAAAATTAGAAGTGAACTTTTTTGTGTTAAATGCATTTTTAGCAAAAGGTTAAATTTGGTACTTTCATAGTAGCTTTTGTGATTTAAAAAATAAAACATTGAATTTAATCATTTTATCCTATATTATGAACTAAATAAAGAGATAAATACATTTAAAAATTTTTAAATTACATATTATCCAATACAATAAGTATTTATTGAACTATATTTCCAAATAATATATTAAAAGCACTTAAACACTTAATAAGTATTTTTATTAAAAACTCTATTGAAGAATTACTTTTTAATAAGTTATTGCAACTCCAAACGGACCTTAGTAGAAGGCAAAGGACATGTGATTATTAAGCAACTAAAGGGAAAAATCTACAAAAAAGAAAAAAACGAAACTATACTGAAGGAAGTACAAGACAATAACAAAAAAAGATTCTTCTCAAATTTAACCAACTCATTGAGGCCAGTTATCAATATTTTGACTATTTGTTTCTAGCTCCACTTCTTTTGTGAGAATTATACAAGCGTTCAGACATGATGTTCTCCTGTTTTGTGGGCCCACAACGCTGACGCTTTCTGGAACGAAGAAGTTGTGAGTCCTGGGTCTGTCCGTCTTCCCGTTGCATTCTATTTTGCTAAATTGATTTATACGGATCTAGCGGATAATCCATGCAAATCCATCAATTTAATTGATTTTAAATAGTTATCCATTTAAAGTTATCGTCCTTTTTTGAGTCATCCAAATCCATTTAAACTTGGTTTATATAGATGCATAAATGGATTTGAATCCATTTTGCCAACTCTAGCTATTTCCATAATACTGGAAAGTTAGGATGTTGGAGTAAAATTCAGAATGCATAAGAAACGACTTTTGGATTACCAATCGAAGATACCGATCATGATGTCTGCAAAACACCACATGGAAATTATTAACTGCCCAATTTCCAAATCGAAAGTATCTAGGTTCTTAATCTTCCTCATTGGAGAAATTTATCAAATAACAAAAAATCATTCCACAGTGTTAAAATAGTTAGGCAGATAAAAGATTTAGAAATTTATCTGAATAATAAAAAAATCATTGCACAGCATAAAAATAATTAGCAAATAAAAGATTAAACAGTTTAAACCAAGTACTCCAACATCCTAACTCATTAGATTCGGTTCCACCGCCGGCTTAACATAAACTTTCGCACTATCAACTGAATTTTAGAAATATCTAATTCAACTTGCTCCAATCAATAAAGTGAAAATTCACACTTTAAATTTTCAATTGTCCTATTTCCCGTAACTAACTACTACATCAAACCATCCAACCGAAGCAAAACTTTCTAGTTTTCAACACCCAATTTGATGACATCAACAATTTGTAATAAAAAAGGAACCATCCCTATTTCCATATAACGACGATTCCTACGTGTCATGGGAGCTTTCACCCTTAGTCTATATCGTAGAAGAAGATAATGAATGCTTGTACAACCACATAGAGTCATGATCAATTCAACATGAATGCATTGTTTATTATTAAAAAAAGATAATAAATGCTTATACAACCATACAGAGTCATGATCAATTCAACATACACTTGATATATATCCTGCAAGACTGGTTGTATTTTGATAAAGAAGTATATCATGGTAGGCAAACTACGCAAATGCATCTTTGTGCTGTTTTAGCCTCAAAATAAAAGTGGAATACTTTGTTCATTCCTGAAGAAGTTGCTAGGATCAACCTTGCTCTTTATCCTTGCCAACTTTTCAAAATTGTCTTTGAAGTACATTTCTCCCCATGTCTTTGCTTCTTCATACTTGTACTCCTCTCCATTGACCCCCAAATCAAGATCCCTGTAATTGATATATGCAGCTCTAGGATATTGAGAAACAAATGGCTCCATTTTCTTATGGAGCCTTCTTATCCATTCAATATGCTTGTTGCTCTCACTTTGGTTATTGTGCTTCCAATTTACCAAGTATTGTATGTTATACAATGTCCCATTCCTATGTGGGAATGGAAGTTTAGACTCGCAAATTTGACTCATTCTTCCACCAAAAGGATCTAATATCATCATGGGACTGTCTTCTTCAAGAAACATTTTCTTTATCAATACCCATGCCTTTTCTGGTATTGGTCGTATAACAAAATCAGATTTTGCCTTGTAATAAGCAGGCGTGCTCCTTTTGCTCACCAAATACTGCAACGAACTTTTAGGTATTTTTGACGCGAAATAAAGCGCTGATTTGATCCATGGAACTTGATAGCATTCTTTCTTGATGCAAGGTTTCCTTTTGCAATTTTTAATTTCAGTGGGATCTTGAAAGCAATCTCTAACCTTTATCCCAAATTCCGGCAAGTATCGGCTTGATAAAGTAACAAGCTTATCAGCCGTCCCAAGATACAAACCTTGAAAGGAAATCTGAACAATCTTTTCTCCTCCTTTTACAACTGGTGCTTGATTTTGAAGGATCATTCTCACGAAAAGATCTTCAGGAAATTGATGGGCAATATTTTGCCATCTCTGGATCAATTTTATATTGTTACGATCAAGCTTTCTACGAATTGTGAAAGCTGTAACCTGCTCAGGAACACGAGATAGCTTGAGTTTCCATGCAAGTATTACCCCAAAACTTGCTCCTCCACCTCCCCTTATAGCCCAAAACAAATCTTCACCCATTTCTCTCCTGTCAAGAATTTGTCCATTGGCATCCATAACCCTTGCATCTACAACGTTATCAGCAGCAAGACCATACTTTCTTAACAAAGTCCCTATGCCTCCACCACTTATGTGTCCACCTGATCCAACTGTAGGACATAGCCCACCAGCAAATGCATGGGTTTTACTTTTTTGAGCAATTGCATAGTAAAGTTGGCCTAGAGTCACCCCAGTTTGAATCCAGGCAGTTTCACTTTCCAGATCAATGTTAATGGATTTGAGATTGCATAGATCAATCATGATGAACGGGGATCGACAGCGGTATGAGAGGCCTTCATAGTCATGTCCCCCACTCTTGACTCTGACTTGTAAACCAAGCTTTTTGCTGCAAAGAATAATGGATCTCATTTGGGTCTCATGATATGGTGTAACAATGAAAAGAGGGAACGCAGATGTTGAATTTGACCATCTTGAAATTTTTTGGGCATATTTCAGGAGTGATGAGTATTCTGGAGAATTAGGCTTGTGAATATATTTTTCAATGTTTTCTTTGGAACTGGTGGATATGCAATGAAGAAAATCTTCAAATGCATTACAGGTTACTAAGACAAATAATGGTATCAACACAAGGGATTTAAGAGCATGTCTACTACCCATGGATTCTATCCTTTTGATGGTTTTGTATAAGAAGAGGTTCTTTGAAACGAAGCACAAAAAGTATATAAAGGCCAAAAGGTAGGAAACTTTGCACTCATGAAAATCTAGGACTTTAAACTTCTATCTTTCATGGTTAAGGAATATCTTTCATGATTTTCTAAATTAAATGGGTTGAATTATTGTAAGATATGCAGACTAAAGTGAGAAAAGATAGGAAAATAATGAATTCAATGCATAAAACATTAATTTGGATACTTTATTCTGTAGTAGAAATGCAAAATTTGGTTCCATAACGGTAGGAATTAATGCATCTGATATGCTCTGAAACGTAGAGACAAAATTGGATCCATAACGGTAGGAATTAATGCATCTGATATGCTCTGAAACGTAGAGACAAAATTGGGAAAGCACCAAATTTTGCGTTTCTACTACAGAATAAAGTATCCAAATTAATGTTTTATGCATTGAATTCATTATTTTCCTATTTTTTCTCACTTTACTCTAAATATTTTACAATAATTCAACCCATTTAATTTAGAAAATCATGAAAGATATTCCTTAACCATGAAAGATAAATTTAGAAAACCATGAAAGATATTCCTTTACCATGAAAGATAGAAGTTTAAAGTCCTAGATTTTCATGAGTGCAAAGTTTCCTACCCTTTGGCCTTTACATACTTTTTGTGTTTCGTTTCAAAGAACCTCTTCTTATACAAAACCATCAACTTCTATCTTTCATGGTTAAGGAATATCTTTTATGGTTTTCTAAATTAAGTGGGTTGAATTATTGTAAAATATGCAGAGTAAAGTGAGAAAAGATAGGAAAATAATGGATTCAATGCATAAAACATTAATTTGGATACTTTACTCTGTAGTAGAAACGCAAAATTTGGTTCCATAATGGTAGGAATTAATGCATTTGATATGCTCTGAAACGTATAGACAAAATTGGGAAAACACCAAATTTTGCGTTTCTACTACAGAATAAAGTATCCAAATTAATGTTTTATGCATTGAATTCATTATTTTCCTATCTTTTCTCACTTTAGTCTGCATATTTTACAATAATTCAACCCATTTAATTTAGAAAATCATGAAAGATATTCCTTAACCATGAAAGATAGAAGTTTAAAGCCCTAGATTTTCATGAGTGCAAAGTTTCCTACCCTTTGGCCTTTACATACTTTTTGTGCTTCGTTTCAAAGAACCTCTTCTTATACAAAACCATCAAAAGGAAAGAATCCATGGGTAGTAGACATGCTCTTAGATCCCTTGTGTTGATTCCATTATTTGTCTTAGTAACCTGTAATGCATTTGAAGATTTTCTTCATTGCATATCCACCAGTTCCAAAGAAAACATTGAAAAATATATTCACAAGCCTAATTCTCCAGAATACTCATCATTCCTGAAATATGCCCAAAAAATTTCAAGATGGTCAAATTCAACATCCGTGTTCCGTCTTTTTATTGTCACCCCATATCATGAGGCCCAAATGAGAGCCATTATTCTTTGCAGCAAAAAGCTTGGTTTACAAGTCAGAGTCAAGAGTGGGGGACATGACTATGAAGGCCTCTCATACCGTTGCGATCCCCGTTCATCGTGATTGATCTGTGCAATATCAAATCCATTAACATTGATCTAGAAAGTGAAACTGCCTGGATTCAAACTGGGGTGACTCTAGGCCAACTTTACTATGCAACCAGTTTTGTACCCGTTCGTTGAACGGGAATCGTCAAAAAATAATAAATTATTTAGCCAATTTTATAAAAATGTCGATATGAAATACAAATTTAATGTATCTTTTATTATAACCTTTCTTAAATACAAACTTAATGTATATGAAAACTTACGATGAAAACACTTGTTTAAATCATCTCTCTTCATACAAAACAAATAGAAAATAAAACCAAAACACACAAAATTCAAGATATGTTACTAAATGCCTACAATTGAAGATGAACGTGTCTTTTTAAAAAAAAAATGTGTATCGAAAAAAGATGTACCTGATAATCAAGAGGAGTGAAAACCCAAAATCGATACTTTAATAGGCCAACCGCTTGCACTGGAAATACTTAACCATGAATTTGATGCTTGAAATTCGTTTATTAGAGGCTATATATAGGCATAAGAATTGATAAGCATATAAAGAGATATTGATAAGAATATTAAAAGTAATTTTATCTTAATTTAAGTTGCTTAAAGTATTTAATTTTGGGTAAGAAATAAGAATTGATAAGGATATAAAGAGATATTGATAAAAATATTAAAAGTAGTTTTATCTTAAATTAAGTTGCTTAAAGTATTTAACTTTGGGTAGGAAATAAGAATTGATAAGGATATAAAGATATTGATAAGAATATAAAAAGATAAGAATAAAAAATAGTTTTACTAAAGGCGTGCATGTTAAAGAAATTATACGGGTCATACCTTGTTATACCTAGAAGTTCACAAATCAAAAGAGAAGCAAGTGGCCGCAAATATATGATTATGATAGAATGATAATCTGCCGCAAATATAGGATAGAATGCTTAGGACGGTTATAAGGATGGTTTTATAAGTCATACATGGATGATAAGGACGGTTTTATATTTGAAATTAAATTTAGATAGATATTGATAATTGATTTCATGCTTATGAAAAGAGAGAGATAAACTCCATATAGAGCATAGGTTATTTTTTAAAAAAAAGGTGGAAATTGAGATGGAAGAACGTAGGTTATTTTATAGAGCGAGTTGAAACTACTTGCTGTGTCGTTAAGCCACATAGGAAAGAGAAAGTATAACGTGATAAGAATGAGAATACGACTTTATTATATATATATATATATATATATATATATATATATATATATATATGATTGCTCAAAAAAGTAAAACCCATGCATTTGCTGGTAGGCTATGTCCTACAGTTGGATCAGGTGGGCACATAAGTGGTGGAGGAGTAGGGACTTTGTTAAGAAAATATGGTCTTGCTGCTGATAACGTTGTAGATGCAAGGGTTATGGATGCCAATGGACAAATTCTTGACAGGAGAAAAATGGGTGAAGATTTGTTTTGGGCTATAAGGGGAGGTAGAGGAGCAAGTTTTGGGGTAATACTTGCATGGAAACTCAAGCTATCTCGTGTTCCTGAGCAGGTTACAGCTTTCACAGTTCGTAGAAAGCTTGATCGTGGCAATATAAAATTGATCCAGAGATGGCAAAATATTGCCCATCAATTTCTTGAAAATCTTTTCGTGAGAATGATCCTTCAAAATCCAGCACCAGTTGTAAAAGGAGGAAAAAAGATTGTTCGGATTTCCTTTCAAGGTTGGTATCTTGGGACGGCTGATAAGCTTGTTACTTTATCAAGCCGATACTTGCCGGAATTTGGGATAAATGTTAGAGATTGCTTTCAAGATCCCACTGAAATTAAAAATTGCAAAAGGAAACCTTGCATCAAGAAAGAATGCTATCAAATCAAATCAACGCTTTATTTCGCATCAAAAACACCTAAAAGTTCGTTGCAATATTTGGTGAGCAAAAGTAGCACGCTTGCTTATTACAAGGCAAAATCTGATTTTGTTACACGACCAATACCAGATAAGGCATGGGTATTGATAAAGAAAATGTTTCTTGAAGAAGACAGTCCCATGATGATATTAGATCCTTTTGGTGGAAGAATGAGTCAAATTTGCAAGTCTGAACTTCCATTCCCACACAGAAATGGGACATTATATAACATACAATACTTGATGAATTGGAAGCACAATAACCAAAGTGAGAGCAACAAGCATATTGAATGGATAAGAAGGCTCCATAAGAAAATGGAGCCATTTGTTCTCAATCTCCTAAAGCTGCATATATCAATTACAGGGATCTTGATTTGGGGGTCAATGGAGAGGGGTACAATTATAACAAAGCAAAGACATGGGGAGAAATGTACTTCAAAGACAATTGTGAAAAGTTGACAAGGATAAAGAGCAAGGTTGATCCCAGCAACTTCTTCAAGAATGAACAAAGTATTCCACTTTTATTTTGAGGCTAAAACAGCACAAATATGCATTTGCGTAGTTTGCCTACCTTGATATACTTCTTTATCAAAATACAACCAGTCTTGCAGGATATATATCAAGTGCATGTTGAATTGATCATGACTCTGTATGGTTGTATAAGCATTTATTATCTTATCTTAATAATAAACAATGCATTCATGTTGAATTGATCATGACCCTATGTGGTTGTACAAGCATTCATTATCTTCTTCTACGATATAGACTAAGGGTGAAAGCTCCCATGACACGTAGGAATCGTCGTTATATGGAAATAGAGACGGTTCCTTTTTTATTACAAATTGTTGATGTCATCAAATTGGGTGTTGAAAACTAGAAAGTTTTGTTTCGGTTGGATGGTTTGATGTAGTAGTTAGTTACGGGAATAGGACAATTGAAATTTTAAAGTGTAAATTTTCAGTTTATTGATTGGAGCAAGTTGAATTAGATATTTCTAAAATGCAGTTGATAGTGCGAAAGTTTATGTTAAGCCAGCGGTGGAACCGAATCTAATGAGTTAGGATGTTGGAGTACTTGGTTTAAACTGTTTAATCTTTTATTTGCCTAATTATTTTTATGCTGTGCAATGATTTTTTTATTATTCAGATAAATTTCTAAATCTTTTATCTGCCTAACTATTTTAACACTGTGGAATGATTTTTTGTTATTTGATAAATTTCTCCAATGGGGAAGGTTAAGAACCTAGATACTTTCGATTTGGAAATTGGGCAGTTAATAGTTTCCATGTGGTGTTTTGCAGACATCATGATCCTTATCTTCTATTGGTAATCCAAAAGTTGCTGCTTACGCATTCTGAATTTTATTTTTGTATATTTAATTTTCTCTTCGCTTTTTTCTCCCCTTTTTACTAATCTAAGTTTTACATGTTTTTTTGGTGATTGCAAGTGGAGAAAGTTGGGCTTTTTCCTCTTCAAGACTGCTGAAACACTCCAAGATATGGTATATTTTATGTCATTCACTATTAAAAAGTTTACTTTCATACACTCTGTTTTTTTTTTCAATCAAGTTTCGGTTGTGATTTTCTTGGTTATTCATTATTTGGATGCTCTTTCACAAGCTTCCTTTTCCATTCATTATGGAGAAGGTCTGTTTTCTTTATCTGCTTTGCATCTCTATCCCATTAAATGATGGATCTATTTTTGATAGTTCTGTGCGTACTTAGACGCCGGGCTTTCAGCCACAAATGACGAAAAGCATTGTAAGTCATCAAGGATTTCCATTATTTTAGATTATTGTTTTTAAGTGCCTTTTCCTCGTGTCTTTGCATAAATCTTGCCTTTCATTTTCTTTTGCTAGAGTACGAGTTTTTCATTAAAATTTTGCCAATTTGTTCCAAGGGATTGGCCTGCGTATTTAATAGGATGATATTTTGCGACTATAATGTAAATTATAGCTGAATTAGTGCTCCCTATATTTGTTATTACTTTAGTTGAGAGTCACTTTGTTATTGCAGGAAAATCTTGCAATTTAGATCTAAATTACCTTTTACCAAAATGGATTTTCTTCACTTCTTTCC